AAGAAGAAGAAGAAGAAGAAGAAGAAGAAGAAGAAGAAGAAGAAGAAGAAGAAGAAGAAGAAGAAGAAGAAGAAGAAGAAGAAGAAAATCACTCAGTAAAGCAAATAAAGCCACTATGACAAGTGAGGCTTGAATTTCAGAATCCTTGGCTGAGTTTTTAGTCTTCAGCTGATGATCTGATAGCAAAGATAAAAATCCCTAAAACAAACTCATTATTAGGCTTACTCCATTGATTCATTACTACAGTAGCTATCTACAACCAAATATTTCTTTTTTCTGGATCAAAGAGGATCAGAATTTATTTCAACCAATGTACTTATTTCTTTTCTTTCATTGACAAGGATTTAAGATGACTGTCCTACTAATTTCTATCAGTTTTTTGAAAGCAGCAGTTAATGCTTAAAACTTTTACTTTGACCAATTTTATATGCTTATATCTTTAATCTGAGCGACTATCTTTAAGAGAGCAATGAGCAATATAGCAACCACCATTGACTACCTATCATCTTAGTTTTTAAATTGTGTATCATTTCTAATGCCTTATCTATGACTTTTCTATTCTCTTTAAACACACACACACACACACACACACACACACACACGCTCCTATAAGATATTTCATCCCTTGCACAAACTATGCACATGGCCACGGGCCTCTTGATGTAATCAGAGGAGACAGCCTGTGCTACAAACATCACAGTGATTCTACTCCTGATGTTACTTCCTCCTTTCTTTCCAGAATACTTTTGGAATGGTGGATCTGGCTGAATACGGGCCAACAGGGCTGGGGAGATAGAATAAGCACTTGCCTGGCAAGCACAAGGGCCTGAGTTCAATCCCTGGTTCTGAAGAAAAAAAAAATGCAGGCCAAGAAATGTCTGTGCCCGAGATACTGACCTATACCCCTGTTGGAACAAACATGTACATATCCCCTCTCTTATGCCCTCTCATGGGAAACTGCTCCCCGTGACATGATCCGTACTACCAGAGTGGTACGGGGTTGGCGTCACTGTTTAGGGAGCCAGATTTGTGCTCCGCAGCCCCCTGCAGATTCTTCAACCTCTCTGTGTCTGTTTCCTCATCTATACTATTGGAATAACAGTGGTACTGATGAATATGTTGTGGACACCAATACAGCGTAAAACCTATACTTATGGGTGGTTGTCTCTGAGGGGTGGAGGAGAGCATCCAGACAAGATGTGCACAGGGCCTTGTGTGCGGTACGTGTCCCATAACTTTAGATGCTGACTGGTGATAATGGAGATGGAAATGACATAGACAGCTGAGAATCAGAGGACCTCATTTAGAGAGCAGGTCTCTACTGCCTTTGTAGTTAACCTTGGGAACTGAAATTCTTTACGTCAATTTCTGTGCCTGAAAGTTGGGTTTAAGTTGTGTAGAACAGGCAATAATATTTAGAGAATACGCAGCTGCAGACTTCTGAGATGAACCACTAAAATCCAGGGATGCCTCAGGTGCTTTTAGAGCAAGAGTACATTTGAGAGGAGTGGATTAAGCATTTTCTTGGACTCTATTCTTTCTGCAGCACTTGTCAAAGAAGGGGTAGGGAGACCATGAATCTGTGCAGTAGACAGGCCCCTGGATGGCCTTATGTTCCTAAGGAAAGATTTTTTTCCAGGAAATATTGACCCACACCCACCAGGCTCTCTTTCTCTCGCCTCTGTTCAGAAGGCTTAGCAGGCCAGCAAGCAGGAAGACCCTCCTGCATTTTTCATGGCACTTGTGACTTCCATAGTCTTGGGAATATTGGTCTGTTATTAGTTAGACTGAGAGTTGTCTTAGCCTTACTATAGGAAGTGTTTGCATCAGCCAGATGTGGTGGCAGACACCTGTACTTCCAATGCTCAGGGGCTGAGGCAGGAAGATCACCTTGAGTTTGAGTTCAGCCTGGGTGCCATAGTGAGTTCAAAAGCCAGCCTAACCTATATAGTGAGACTTTATCTCAAACAAACAAATAAACAAAGAAAAAAGAAAAAAAGGGAAAGAATATTTTTCTGAACAAAGAATAGTTTGCTTCTAATATAAATTGTTTTGGTTGTTGTTAGTTTGTTTATTTTTTGTGGTACGTGGGATTGAAGTCAAGATCTATGCCCTGAGCTACATCCTCAGCCATTTCTATTTATTTATTTATTTGTTTGTTTGTTTGTTTGTTTGTTTTTCTGAGGCAGAGTCTTACTACATTACTAAGTTTAGACTGTGCTCAAACTTGTATTTCTCCTGCCTCAGCTGCCTAGAGAGCTTAATTTCAGCTTTACTTATCAAAAGAAGAACAGCTGGTCATTGTGCATAGATTTTATCCTCCTTTGCTACTGCAGGATGGACACCTAGTTGCGATTCTTGTCCTTGAACATGGGGAGGCTCTGCAAGAAGTTAGACCTGGACTTTCGGAAAGAGTTGCCCTTCTATGACCATCTTGATTGGTGGTGTGGAAAAGCCTAGAAGAAACCAATAGATTGAGATCCTTGGCTTGTGTTCATTACAGATGAGAAAAGATGGTAAGATCTAGTCAGTCAGCTCAAAAACCTGCTGTGTTCTGTCCACACCTCCAGCTCTTTCACATGGGTGATTATTCAAGATATCTTTACAGAGCAATTTCTTGATGCAAAAAGTAAAAAAAAATCACATAAATAGAATAAAAGCAACAGGAAATATAAAACTAATCCCTACTATTTGAGCAGTCATTGATCATGCTCATTAAGTCTTTTTATTTGGATGCCTATGAAATTTCAGGTTGAAGGTTAGATTTCTCTTTTGATATCAGTATGAAGTTTCTACATTGTTAACTTTAGAAAAGGGAGAGTCCTAAGATTTTTTTTTTGTTTTGTTTTATAATTCATTTGGGGCAGTGGCTAAGAATTAAAGGGGAAAAAGAAACCTCTAAGCTGTTGAGATTTAGTCATTGATATAGTTTTTGGAGTAAATTCGTATTTTGCTCCTTGTTGCCCAGCCAGGCAAAAAAAAAATCTATTTTGTTTGGATCTGAGCAGCAATTTGGGGGGAAAAATCGTATTGATGGTAATAGCTTGAAACATGGAATTGTTTTTATTCCCAGGTTGGAGAAATTGCAGGGCAAGTTTTGTTTAAGCAATTCCTTTGACGCCAGTCTGAATACAAATGGAATACCAAGACTCTTGGGCATATGCCCCCTTATCTCTTACCCAGAGACTGATTTCATTACCATAATTGCAGAGCTGCCTGTCTCCTGGCAGCTTCTCCCTACCAAGACCCTTAATAACCTTGTAGGGGATTGTTGTAGCACTGGCTGTCTTCAGGCTGAGAGGAGAGGGTCAGGCTGCAAAGGAGAAAGCCTGTGTCTCCAAAGAGAGGTTGCCTGTCCTTTTGCACTTGTCCTTCAAAGGCCCTATGTGGATTCCTATAACCACTGTTCTCCAGCAACAGCAGAGATATCGGATAGATGATGTCTTTCTCATCTGCCTTTCTCTTTTTTCTTTTCTGGCAATTACTTAAAAGCTCCATAATTATTTATAAATATGCAAGGGAGCCCACAAGGCTAGAGAAATCATGGTGGCCTGGTTCAAGCTAGTGGCGGCCTTCTCAGTCTCCCAGCACAGAGAGAGAGAGAGAAAAAAAAGCTGCATTTAGCCTTCTATTTCTGAGTGTACTCTGGCATCAGAGGCTACTATCTTGACCAGGTGTCTGGACCCTGGGAAACCATAGCCTAGGACCACCACTAGCTGGTAAACTTGCGGTAAATATCGCAGTGAGCAGGACTCAGGCATCCCCATCCCACAAAACGAAGTGGCTGTTTGTTTTCAGGTTGGGCACACACACGTGAGATTTGGCAGAGCATTGCAGAAACTCTTCAGATATCGGGTCAGGGCAAAACTGGGAATGCATCTGCCTAGTACATCTTGCGCTGATTACTTGGAGCGCGTGTTTCTGACTCATTTGCACATAACTTATCCAGGGGTGTTGCAAGAGCTATGTGATGGCCAAAGGAACCCAATGAGTCTTTTATTACATTTTTAGAACAAGCTTCTCTATGTTGATTGTCTTTTGGAGCCAAGATACTACATTCTTCCAGCCCCATGACAGACTTCAAAAGTAGGCTTCATAAATCCAAAGAACAAGTTCTAACCTTAGCTCTGGGATGATCTGCTCTGACCCCGAGGCTGGGTCTGGACTATGGGAGGAGTGCACATCCTAGCTGGGAAAGCATGGTCCTGAAGGCCTTGTGTTCACATCTCTGCATGCCCTGTAGCATCCAGCCCACCGCCAGCACTCATGACCCCTTTGCTCCCCTTATGTCTTCAAGAGACTATGCTTATTTTTTAGGAGTTTGTTTTATTTTGTTTTGTTTGAGACAGGGTCTCACTATGTAGTCCAGGCTGGCCCTGAACTTACTTATATAGCCCAAGCTGACCTTAAACGCACAGTGATCAAACTGCCTCAGCCTCCAAGGTGCTGGGATTACAGAAGAAATTCTGCTTCTATCACTTTGTTGTTGGTTTTCTTGTTTGTTTGGTGTTTTGTTTGTATTTTGAGAGGCAGTGTAGCAAAGCTGATAAGAGCATCAGCTCTGGAGCCATAGCTTAAGGCACTGACCACTGGATTGTTCATCATCCTGTGGGTCAGAAATTTGAGTGAAATTCATCAGGGGGAGCTTGGCTTAGTTACCTGTTGTTTGAAGTGACCAAACTAGAGACAAATGACCCAAAACAGCCCCAGTCATAGGGCTTTGGGGTGCCTGCAGGTGGAAATGCTTCATCCATTTGGCCTCACATCCTAAGAACTTTCTTCAGCTGTGAATTCATCAGTACATTTATTCATTCCCTTCAGCCATCAGTGAGGCTGGCACCCTCATGATCCAGTTCCTTCTCTGAACCCCACCTGTTGAGCATTGCTGCCCAGAGGGTCAAGCCTTCAGTCTGTGAGACTTTTGGGAACATTTCATGCTTAAATCAGAAAGAAAATAGATTAAACAGCCTCATCTACACAGAACATTCAAAAAAGTGCCTGAAACAGAGTTAACATAATGTGCAATAAGTGTTATGTTTTATTGTGATTATCCTTGTGACACGTTAGGAATAGATATAGTACATGTTTTCCACTGTAATGGAAGACTTTTCAGCCCCATACTCACTAATAAGTCAGAAACCTTGTGTCTCAGTTACTTTTCTCATTGCTGAGACAAAACATCCAATGCCCAAGTTAAAGGGAAGTCAGGTTTATTAAGCTCACAATTTGTAGAGGTGTCAGTCCATAATCCGCTGGCTCCAAGGCAGGGTGGCTTGGCAGAGGGGCCTCACAGAGTAGAACAGTTCATGGTTCATGGCAGGAAGAGATTAGCAAAAGCATTGGGGGGTATTTCTGTCTCTTGTATGGTATCCACTCTACCAGGATTAGGGCACTGCCAATCTAATCAGTGAGCAGATCCAGCAAGCACCCACCCTTAATCCCAGCCCCCTTAATCCTAGAATTGCACTAAAAAACAGTCATATACTCTAGATTAGCCACCTCCAAAAAAGTTGCTATGACATTATGAGGCTTTGGAGAGACAACTAGATACAAGTCATACACCATGGTAATGCCTTGTTTTCTCCCAGCCTGAGGTTACATTCCATCCTGTTGTGGAATTCATGCAGGCCATCCCTGAATGTTTCCCCCTCCCTATCACCACGCAATCTTAGCTTTCTTTCCTGAGTGGTATAGCCACCACTTCCTTCAGCTCTCTCAGACTTTCTTCCAAGGGTCCCACAGCCTGGAGGTGGTGGACTCCACATTGACCCTGGCCTGTTCTGAATTCTTCAGGTCACCATAGAGGTGGTCGACGGTCCAGACTCTGAAGCAGATAAAGATCAGCATCCGGAGAATAAGCCCAGCTGGTCAGTCCCATCCCCCGACTGGCAGGCCTGGTGGCAGAGGTCCTTGTCCTTGACGAGGGCCAACAGCGGGGACCAGGACTACAAGTATGACAGTACCTCAGATGACAGCAACTTCCTCAACCCCCCCAGGGGGTGGGACCGTCCGGCCCCAGGCCACCGGACTTTTGAAACCAAAGAGCAGCCAGAATATGGTGAGTTTACCACTCAGTAATATAAAATTGGTGGGGAGAATAAATAAGGCCTAGCAGATGCAGAGCCAAGCCAAACCCAGTTTACAGTGTGTGGCTTTTGGTCTTCTGTGAGGCAGATCTCATAAAGGCTGTATTCCACAGACGCCCCAGTGAGGCACCGGCAGCCACAGTTTTCTGGAAAGACTATAATTTTAAAATCACAGGAATTATCCTTGGAGAGAATTTTCTTTAGGGTCTTTGGGGTTCTTTCTATCTTTCCTTCCCCAAATATTGAGTTATTTCTAAAAATGGAGCAATCAAATTAACTTCATTGTATTTTTTCACTGTAAAAAATTCATATGGAGAGCAGTGTAATAAAAAAGATGTGTATGGTCGCTGCTTCCTTTGACCAGGCAACTGGGTTACATTTCATACCAGCAGTGTAGTGGCCCTTGAGAATTGGTATTAACACTTGTGACATGGTCAAAGGAAGCCTCTCCCAGTAAATGTTAAGCCCCTCAGTTGATACATCTAGTTTCTCCAGTTTTTACAATAGGATAGCTATGGTAACAGAAAACTTCCAAGCTCAGGGACTTAAGATAATAAAAGTTCATTTCTGACTTTAGTTGCAATGGGAGACAAAGTGGGAACCCATGATTTGCCATCTAGCTTTCTCCTTCCATCTGGGAGCTCCATCAACTGTTAGGGCTGAGACTTATCCCCTAGGCACTTCGCATTGGGCTGGTAACCAGTGAATGTGGAAAGCCGGAGAGAAAGAACACACGTTCTTTACCCCTTTATCTTGGAGGTGACCCACATCACATCCACTCAAATTCTGTTGCTGAGACCAGATCATATGGCCCCATAGAAGTCCAAGGGTACAGGGGAAAAAATGTACACGACCAAGTGAAAGAGAAAACTCTTGGAAGCATCTGGCCAGCCACAGTGGGGAATCAGTGTGTTGTAGGAACATTTGCTGTCTTACAAATGCACCTACCATCAAGGTTTCAGATAACTTTACCATCAGCAGACTTGGGTGTGAAGAGTATACTTCTACCATTTGTGCTCTCACCTTTACCTCTTTTTTTGCAGAAAGACAAGTTCTATTTTGGAGCGTTATCTGTGTCCATTAAGAGATGATTCTAGGCAATGTCCAAAACAGCAAAAATAGTTCTTTATCTAGTCACATCATTTGATTGATCAACCAGCATTCATTAAGAGCATGTCTTGGGTCTGACATCATGCTAGGTGCAAGAAATCCCAAAATATGAGAAATGTGGTCCTTTCCTAAAGAAGGGCTCACCCATGTCATGCCAAACAGAAAAGTTAACTAATAGGGCAATGTAGTGCCATGTTAAAGATATACACCAAGTAGTATGGGTAGCAGAAAGAGGACTCCATACACCTGCCAGTCAGGTGGCTCATAAAATCCCCACAAGAAGTCTAAATAATCTATTTCCGAGAGTAAGAACCCGGGGTCATAGCTAGCCTGTGTAAGTACTTATATAACAACAGTTCCTCTTTGGGGCATTTCACATAGGTTGGCCCATTTGGCTAGCTCTCTGAGGCAGATACTTCACTTGTAGATGGGAAAAACAAAGGCTGCAGAGGTTCATCAATGTGACTTGCAGGGTACAGATTTGCAACTTATCTTGGAAAGTGCATCCAGGATCTTAGGCACTATCCCATCATACCTCTCTTGGGAGAAAGTAGCACAACAGTAAAGTGGATCTAGATAGGAATGCAACTCTGGGTTCTCTGGGGGTGGTGTGAGCCATCACTGTCTTCTGGACTCTAGAGGGACCCCAACATACAGCCCAAGGGGAAGACCACTGCTGTCCCTTGCTGAGTCAGAAGGGTGTGTCTGAGCCCTGGAACCTGCCTATGCTTCCTTCTTAATTTTTCAGTCAAGGTCACCATGCGATTCTTATGCTTAGTCAAGTTTGAGGACAATGATTAGAAATAACTTCTTCATCTAAAGCTTTTATAGATCTGCTTTGTTGAGTTAATGAGAATTAGCAGCATCCTGTCCTGTTCCACCTTGGATACAGAATTTGCTTCTACTAGGGCAGATCCTGTCTGCATTGGCCACCCTCACCACATCTTCCTGGAGGACCCATGAAATTCCCTGGATCAAAATCTTGCTGCATTCTTGGGCCAATGGGAAGCTCCCAAGTCCTATGATTTTGGAGTATCTTTCGGTAACTTTTCCCACAGTAGACTAGCTATCAAGATGCCTACTTCATACAGAGAACTTTGTCCTTTGTAATACCATAAGTAGGGCTTCTCATACCTTTCTGTGCATCTCAATAACAGGTTTTGTGGGAATGCAACTTCTAATACAACAGGTGTAGGAGAGAGACAGGAGCCAGGGAAAGCTAGCATCACTGGTCCCCTCTGAGTGACACTCAGAGTAGCAAGAATCTAAGCATATCCTTGCCCCTGAATAGCATGGGCATGTTAACTGAATGACTGTTCTTAGATGACTGCTCAAGGGACGTGTGCTTTCCAGAATTCTATATGGCATCTGAGAATTCTATTTATTTCAATCACCAAAAAATCTATGGATTAATTTCTAATTATTCACTCCTGTATTGAGCACTTGGGATGGGGACAGGGAGAGAACATACCCTCCTGGAAGGGCAGGCTCATGGAGTGCAGGTCACTGTGTCTGAAGGCTTGCCACTGAAGCTGGTCTTTGCAGGAGAAGTGGACTTTTGAAGGTAGGATTTTAAGCAGTCTAAATGTTTGTGGGCAAAGAGTATTTCAAAAAATCTAAGGTGCATTGAATAGAATATAATGGCAACTGCAGGACAGAAGTGCTATAAAATATTCACTAGAAGCTAGACCTTACTGGCGATGAAGGAAACACAGCTTGTGGGGATGCCATAAGTCAGTTTGACTGGTCAGCGTCTGTAAATACTTCCTGCAGATGTTTCAGGTGCCTGGGGAAGAGAGAGCCCAAGTAAACATGTGTCTTTGTAATGGTAAGAGACCATTCTCAAAATTACTCATAATGGAATTAGGTGGACACTGCTTATTAGCAGGGTTAGGACTCAGTTCATTCAAATTCTCTAATTGGAAATGGTCTTGTATCAGTAGAAGATTCCAGAGTGATTTCTTTTCATGAGTCTTTCTTTGCAATGCTGAATTATGGCCATATAAGTGAGTGTCTTAAAGAGGAGAGGCCAACTTGAGCCAAAATTCAAAGCTGCTATAGCAGGTAAGCATGTTAGGCAAGAATGTTTATCTCTCTGAGCCTCTATTTCTCTATCCATAGAAGGAGGAGGTGTCTATCTGTTTCTTGGGATTATTGTAGGTGATAATTTTACCTGCTGTCACCTAGGATTATGGAGCAGGCCTGCAGTGGTCAAGCCAATACCCAAGTCAATTCAGTTAGCCTTGACATTATATCTGGTCCACAGAACATTAAGTGCCCTGAAACTGTAAAAAGACTATTTTACAATTTCAAATGCATCCTGGAAACCCAGCTTTCAGCTCATTGCGTCATCACCTTCCCTCCTTGAGTTCTTCTGTGTCACAGGTTGGAACAGTTCAAACACATACAAACTTTACCAGGAATTGTTTTCTCCTGTCATTGTTGTTATCTTTGTTGTTGACACCCATTTTCTTCTCTGAGCAGAGTACTCTCTGATAGGTGAGCAAATAAGAACATATTTGTTTTATTATTGCAGAAAAGTCTTTTGCTCTCAAAGTTTGTCCCTTTCTGCCCTTGGACCATGTGAAACATACAGAAATCCCTGAGATCTTTGTTGCAGTGCTGCTGTGGACCAGTACATGATGGGAGCTTCAGGGTACTGAGCTGACAGGCACACACTTTTTCCTAGTACATTTTATCTCACTGTTAGTCTGAATATAAAAGATTTATCACATGGCTATAATCTTAATGCCTGATTTCAAGTGGTCCATATTTTCTAAAATGAAGTAGCTCTATGAGCAACAAACATGTGGAGAAGCCACTCACCACAATAATAAATCTTTGATCGATCCAGAGACTAGATTCTGAGAGCAGCCTAGACAGCACATCTTACGGAGGCTTTGCAATGTATTTATAACAGGTTTCATTGCTTACTAATACCCTCTCCCCAGTTTAGCAGCTTTAAAGAACAAAAGGTTCTCCCTCATGAGTCTGGGAGTAGTTAGGACTGTTGACTTGAGTCAGCTTAGGTGGGTTGGAAGGTCTCTAATGGTTGCTTATAGTGATGGGGCCCTCCCTAGATAGCTGGGGTGTGAAAGGGCTGGGGCCCCTTTCCAACTGCTCCTTTACTCTCCCAAAGACTCACCTGAGTTCTTCATGTGGTGGTGGAAGTGCTCCCTACACCTAGGAAGGAAAATTCTCAGGCACGCTCCTATAGCAAGCCTCTGCTTATGTCATTTGCTATTATCTCATTGGCCAAAGCAGGTCATGTGGCCCAGTCTGAAATCAGCATGTGAGACAGGCCTCAGAAAGAGGGAGTATAGGAATTGTCTCTCATATATCATCTGACATGGTATTCGCATTTCATCATTTAAATCCAAGAAATCTCATACAGGGATTGCAGTACAAACTCACAGTGAGTTTAATGCTCAGAGTTTACAGTTCCATAATACAAAGGAAAAACGGGAGGAGCTTTCAGGATAGGGGAGACCTTTTTGCTTTTGTGAAGTTGAGCAAGCCATTACTCGGCATCCCTGGGCTGTCTCATGCTGGAGCCCATTTCGCAGATGCTATGCATTCTGCCTGTATGACTTAACAATTCTTTTTCTACGTGCTCATTTCCTCCCTTTCAAGTATAAAAGCCTTATCGTCTTAGTTGCCTCTTGTTCCTTTCAACAAAATCAGCCCTTGGGCTGGGGAGATAGCTCAGTAGAATAAGTTCTTGCCTGCCAAGAACAAGGTTCTGAGTTCAAAAAAAAAAGCAAACATGACATGGTATTTTCAAATGCAAAGCTAATTTTTCTCTTTGAGTATTAAGATGCATAGAAAAAAAAAAAAAATGCTGTGTGACTATAAAAATCAGCGTCATATACAGGGGCCGGCCAAATAGCTCAGCAGACTAAAGCACCTGCTTAGGCAGACACAGGGACCCAGGATTCGATCCTTAGGCCTGGCCTGCCAGCCCTGTCCCCAGGGCATGCTGAGACAGATTGAGACTGGGTGTGGTGGCTCATGCCTGTAATCCCAGCACTTGGGAGGCTGTAAAACAAGAGGCCCACTATGAGTCCAATCTACTTAGTGAGTACACCCTGTACTAAATATAAACAAACAAACAAACAAAAACTCAGCCCTTGCTGGTGTGTTTAGGTGTATGCACGTGTGGACATTCTCACATACAAGCACAGAAATGGTGTGACTCCTCCTAGCTGGCACATCCCCAGCACTCTTGGGGAGATCACCAAGTGACCCCAGACTGACAGGACTTGAGGGCGAGGAGCAGAGCCTGACTCACCTCAGGGGCTTCTCCCTCTGGAAGCACCTGTCTCTCTTGTCCTGCTGGAGGCCCCTTGTAAAAGTTCTTAGACATGCAGAGGCTAACACTGGTGCACAGGCCCAAATTCCACAGCATGGAGCAGTAGTTTCCGACATCTGCTTGCCCTTGTGGTTAGAAAACTGTTTCTTAAAAGAAAATCAAAATTTGTGGATGGGGAGGGGAATCTTGTTTGGCAGGAGATAAAAATGTAAGGAGTCTCTGGGGACAGATGAAGGATGAGCAAAGTCTCTGCTCTGTTAGAGATGAGGACAGTGCCATGAAGCACCTCACATACACGTTTGCATGAACACATACGGGCACATTCTCTCTCTCTCTCTCTCTCTCTCTCTCTCTCTCTCTCTCTCTCTCTCTTTCTGCCTAATGGGCCACTTGCCGGAGGATTATGCAGAGTGAAAGTCCCATAAACAGCTTCCAGGGAGTCTGGCACGGAGCCCACAGTTCAGGTAGAAACATGTGTGGATGACATGCATGCCGGGCCTACTTACTAATGAATGCCGGGCATCCATTGCCTGCAGGGGACGTGCCTGTAGGCCCACATTTGGCACCCAGAGAGGCCCCAGGGCTACTGGAAGAGGCGGGTGACTGAGCAGCGGTGCTGCAGAAGGGGCTGTGCTCTAGAGATCTAGGTCTGGGCTGAGTTTTCCCTTCTGTTCACCAGATGACCTTGGCTAAGTCCCCCAGCTGCTCTTGCATGTATCTTCTGTTAAGAGGGTCAATTTTGGTGAGGCACCAACTTGTCCCACTACCAGTCCCCCTATTCTGGTCAGCTTTTCCTTTATCCACACCATTCATCAACTTCTAATTTAATGCAGAGCTTATTCATTTAGAGCATGTGTTTATTGATGCTAACTCCCTCCTATTAAAATATTAGTTCCACAGGGCAAGGATCTGTACTTAATGATGTATTCCACATCTTTAAAATTGTACTTGACATAGAAGGAGAGCTCAACTCATTGGATGAATGTTGAATAATGCCCCAAGGGACATCTTTAGCTTTATCATTACTGCATCAATTACCTATCTCTGCCTTAGTGATTTCAAAAAACCATCCGGAACTTGGTGATTTAAAACAAAAGCAGTTCGTTATTTTTCATGATTTAGTGGCTTGGAAGGTTACTCAGGCTACTGAGTATTTCCTTTTTTCTTGAGGACATCCTCTGCATTCAGCTGTTCACTCGGAAGGACTGGAAGGATCAAAACCAGTTCTCACGTGTCTGAGGTCTCTGTGGTCCTTTTGTC